TGCTGACAATAACTTTGAATATTTCATTGTGATGTTGTTTTAATTTTTTCTTCTTTTTCATGTTATTCTGGTGGTATTTAATGTTAGGATCTTTGAAAGATAAGAAGATCAAGTGAAACATGTTAGAGAGAGGCTTCCCCGCAATATTCTCACTTTGACTGATGACCTTGTTTTGCAAACCAGGTTCTCGTAAGAACTGATGAAGCAAAAATGCTATACTGACACAACTGCATTGTAGTAGACTGTACAGCAGTCCTAGCTGTGGTTGGAACAGCAAACAGTCACTAGAGAGAAAGCAGCCATCATCTGCACTGTTCTTGCAATTCTTTCTTACTCAAGATATGCAACTTCAGCAAATTCATGAAATTGAAAATAATTGATAGTCATTGCCACTTTATGTACTTTCTCTGATATGTATAGACAGTTATGTGAGATTTTTTGGGGGGAGGAAAAAACAACCAACCAACTAAAAATAACCCCAAAACAGAGGTATTTCGTCATATTGGTATGGTCACCGTCATGCTTGTGGTGAAACAAGTGTGTTTGTAATGGAGCTTCAGCCCTTGCCATGTTAAAAAAAAAATAAAATTCAGTTGATTAAGTATTTGATGACAATGTGGACTAGATACGTGTGTATCTGGTTTAGTATTTGTGACATGGTGGATATAGTTTTGCTTTAAGCCTTCACATCTAAAGACAATGGCTTCAGTTAACTTCTTTTTTTATTTTTTTTCCCTTGCCTTATTAGGACAACCACAGTCTTTTTGGCAGCAGCTTGCTGGGCCTCAAAGATGATGACACAGACTTGAGCCAGGCTCTCTGTCTAGCAGTTTCCGTGTCAGAGATTCTTCAGGCAAACCAGCAACAAGGAGTTAGTATACCAAATTACTATTACTCTTTCCTCTTTCCCACCCCCCTCTCCCCAACCTTGTATCAAAATTATGTTTTTAAGTGCTAACAGCACATACATGAATATTTGCTATTTCAGGAAAAAGTGTTCTTGTCTTGAAGTTATCTCCCTTTTAAATGATCTGCTGACTGCAATGCATTTATGCTGTAGTAACTAGAGCTACAGCACAGGAAACTTCATACAGCTGATTTGAATCTGAGGAGTGGGAGCTTGAAGTAGTATCTCACTAATTTGATTTCGTTTCCAAATGTAGCTATTCTAAAGGAAAATTTAAAACCCTTTATTCAGTACCTTTGAGAAGAATGCTGTTATGAAATATATCTTCTGTCAATGAAAGGTTTAAACAAAAAAAAAATTAATTCAAGCTATTTCTGTAGTAGTTAATTGCAGACATACTTAGATGCAGGGACTTCACTTACAGTATTAAAGACCAATGCATGGATAATAGTGTAGCTAGATTACGTTTCTTATTGACTGCTGGCTTTTTGTAGCAGTTTCCAGGCCTGTTTCATTATGCATGTTCTTCCCCTCTGCCCTTAGTCCAAGTTAAACATCTGTTTATATCCTGTTTACCTCAGTGGGATATAAAGCTATTCTTATGTGCTGTGTTAAGTAGTAATGGGCTGTTGGACTGGTACTTCAGAGTTGTCTTTTCTGATGTCTTGTTGATGTGTGCCCTCATACCCACTATATTTCTTCTCATTAGAGGTGAAATAATTATACTGTATGTACTGCACTTGAGTCATCCTTTACAATATGCAAGCTGATGTATTAATGTGAAATCGCTATTGGAATACTGTTGGTGATCCAGTAACTGTAGAAGTTCAGATTAATCACATGAAATAAGGTTTTCCAATAAATGTTAGCCCCTTTGAGTGGTTCCTGTAGTATTAGAACTGGTATTAAAATACACTTGAATTATGTGCTTTCCCATCAATAATTACACGGCTCTTAAATTTTGTAATGAACAAAATCTTTCTTTCAGGAAGGAGTAAGGTTCTTTGTAGTGGATTGTCGTCCTGCAGAGCAATACAATGCTGGGCATTTATCAACAGCATTTCATTTAGACTCAGATTTGGTACGTATGCTTTTTATTTCTCTACTGATTTTTAAATCTTGAGTTAAACAGAAGGAGAGAGAAATGTCTGTCTTGAAAAAATAAACTATCTTTAGGCTCTATACTGCAGTGTCTAGCTATGTGATGAGGTTCCAAAAGTTAGCTTCTCTAAAGAAGATGGTTTCACCATCTCTAAGTGATGAAACCATCATTTTACTGAGAATTTTAGTCCTTAATGACATTAGAACTTGGGATTCCAGACTTCCTTCTTTTAGGTTAGAAGTACAAATCCATAAAGGATAAACACTAGACAATGCTTGGAGGAGAAATCTCTTTTTAGCATTGTAATTTCTATGAAAGGTGTTGTTAATTTTAACAAGTAGCATTTTTTAATTTTCTTTTTTGCCCCCAGCCAGTCTTACTACAGCCTGTTTGTAAGGAGCACATCTTGAAAAGGATTTGGTTGCTCCTTTAAAATTTTTGCAGTGCAATATGAGAGAGGAAGTGCATTAATTTTTGAACCAAGATGTACTACAGACTGATTACTTCATTAATGACTTTGCTGTAGTTTCCATTCGATTATTAATTCTTAACATTCAATCATATTTTTCTCTATTCTTTTTTCCCCAAATCATTTATGCTTCATCTGTCTTACAGTGTATTCTTCACTTCTAGATTTCAATGTATATACCCATAAAAGGCTTTTTTAACTTTCTTAGTTAAGAAGTTCAGTCCTGCATCTATTATCTTTACCTCTGAGATTAAGAAGCTCAGTCGTGCATCTATTATCTTTACCTCTCTGATTAAAATGATGTATTATTCATTATTCTTTGCACAAATATAATTATACAGTAAAGAGGCTCAGGGGAAACCTACTGCTCTCTACAACTACCTGAAAGGAGATAGTAGTAAGGTGGGTATCTGCCTTTTCTCCCAAGTAGCAAGGGTTAGGACAAGAAGAAACAGCCTCAAGTTGCACCAGGGAGGTTTATATTTACGTTGGATATTAGGAAGAATTTCTTTACCAAAAGGGTTGTCAAGCACTGGAACAGGCTGCCCAGAAAAGTGGTTGAGTCACCACCCATGGAGGTATTTAAAAGACTTGTAGATGTGGCACTCGGAGCATGGATTAGTTGTAGAGAGTTGGCACTGTTAGGTTTACAGTTGTACTCAATGATCTTAAGGGTCTTTTCCAACCTTAATGATTCTATGATATAATGTTCCAGGTTTTAACCTAGATAAAATATTATTTAGGAAGAAACTTTCCCTGTGGTATGTGGGTGTCCTGCTAGCCTTAACTGAACATCATTTTCAATAAAGTGGAAATGAGCAATATGAATTATTAAATAGTTTTAAAACCTAGTAATATATGAAAAAGAAGTCCATGAAGACAATCCTTAAATTGGATGTGATTAGTTCATATGTATTTAAATTACATGTTAGAATTAACTTCTGCATTGTGTGTGAGTTGGTATGGTTAGGATTGTTCATGAACCATGCTGGATGAATGTCACCAGGTTCATCTCTGGTTTTAGAAGTTTAATGCCAGGGAAACATTGTAGGGGGAATAATCTTTGAGATAAAAAGCTGTTAATGAAACTTCAGAGCATTTTATACACTTGTATGTGTGAAGTACATACAACTTACTTGAAGGGAAGGCAATGGGGAAAGCACTTCGGAATCCATCTCATTTAAAGGTAGTCTTAGAGGAAGTAGTGAGATTTAGCACCTGTGCAATAAAGCATTAGTATTTTGCTCTAGGAAAACCCCACTTAAAATTCAGGTCGACTTACTGATGGCTAGATTGTGTACTTGTTACTTTGTACCTAGTCATTTAACACAGTGTAAAGGCAAAGTAATGAGAATTCCTCCCTTCCTTTTCCCTGTGCAAATCCAGTTACAGGTCAGTATTTCCTTATTAATTTAAAATAGCTCTTCAGGACAACACAGCCTTGACTTGTTGAGAGTACTAAGAATCTCAGCTATTTCCTTGTACTCCTGATTGTAATTTTATTTTTTCCAAATCTTGATAAGTAAATGAGGAAAAAAAAACGTAGCAGGGAGACAACAAGAGGAGGACCTTACTGGCACCTAGAAATTCTAGGTATTTTAAAGGGTTTAAAAACTGCAGAGTTTGAATGTGTTGTACTCAAGCATAGGTAAATAAGGAAATTGGTCCCTCTGTCATATTGCCAACTTAATGCAATATGAAAGTTGCAAAGACTTTTTCAACTAATATTTGGTGTCTGCAAAAATAAACTAAAAAAAAAAGTTAGCTGCATATCTTTCCTGGGGAGAGCAAGGCAGAGTGAGGAAGAAAAGGAACATTCTCACTGTTTTTCCTGTAATATGAGGTCTCGGTCAGGCATTTTTGTGTGTGTGTGTCTTGTACAATGCTGATACTGCCTTCTTTGTGCTCAACAAATTACAACAATTTTTAAAGTCTGTATCTTCTCACAAGTGGTGTTACAGTATTCTGGTGTCAAGCAGCACTTCTTGTTTGTTCGTTCCACAGATGCTTCAAAACCCATCAGAATTTGCTCAGTCTGTAAAATCCCTATTAGAAGCACAAAAACAGTCTATTGAGTCTGGCTCCATAGCAGGTGGGGAACATCTCTGCTTCATGGGAAGTGGCAGGGAAGAAGAAGATATGTATATGAACATGGTGCTAGCACACTTCTTACAGGTACAACTAAATTGCTGTTGATTTTAATAGCTGAAATAAAGGAACGAGTGGTGTCCCTCAGGGATCGGTGTTGGGACCTGTGTTGTTCAACATCTTTGTGGGTGACATGGACAAAGAAACTGAGTGCGCCCTCAGCAAGTTTGCCGAT